AGATAACACTACACGACTTTCCGGGTTGCAAAAGTAATGAGGTTGCAAAAGTAATGATGCATAGCGCAATGAACCGGAACCGCCAAACGCAACCTCTGCGGTTGGTTGCAGCCCCCGCTGGTGATGCTGCACGCTAGTTAACGGTTCATCATGTACCGGGCCCTGCTGCTGGCGGCCTTCCACTGTCTGCGGTCGGGGCGTCTTTGCACCGCGGGGTGCGGGGTCAAGAGTCTTAGCTGCAGCGCCGGGGTCGCTGCTGCCATCGACCTCGATGCCCGTGTTTCCTGGGCCATCGCGATTGTCTTCATACGAAGAACGTTGACGTTTGGCCCGCTCGCTGTTCACAACCGGAGTGGCATCATTGTCGTCGGCTGGCTGCAGCATTGCGTCCACATTGCCTACGACCCCTACACCGTCTTCATTAACGTCGCTAATGGCTTCAGTTGAATGCCTTCTTTAATGGCCTTCCACGTTTTGGGAGCTTCGGGTCCGAATATTTTGCAGCAATCGGTCCGGTCAGAAACAGTCCGATTCCTCGTTGACTTTCGGGCGTGACCTTCCTAACCGTACTGTTAACTTTATACTAACTGTTTACTGTTAACTCTATACTATCTGTTTACTGTTAACTTTATACTAGCTTTATCCATGGCATTAAAGTACTATGATATGGTTAACATGTATGTCTCCTGTAAGACATTCTAGCGGCTTTAATAGCTGTAATAGATGGCTTGGTGGCATATAGAGAAATGTATGAGGTCAGGCATTACTACTAGTGCACACACTTAAGTCCCTGGAGGTTTACGGATTGAGACCTGCAAGGAGTGAAGTTCATAGCTATGATATTGATAGTGGAAGGCAGTTGTGGTTCAGGAATGTAGTTGAGCTGCATGTGATCCGGCTTACTTGATAGGATGCTGCTAGCAGCGCTGGTGGGTGATTTACCTGAGTGGTCCACTGAAACATTGAGGTTTGTCACCTTAACAGTGTGGTGTGTTGGAGTACATACATTTATTTGTGATAGCAGACTTGGAGTCTGGAGCCCACATATTGATGGGTTGCTGGTCAAGACTTATATGCCCACAGTGAACAACTTCTGGGATGTGTGCAAAACATGGGCCAGGGTGGTCATGGAATGCAGTGTACGACTCATGGAATGAGTGCAAAACATGGGCCGGGGTGGTCATGGAGTGCAGTGTACGACTCATGGAATGAGTGCAAAACATGGGCCAGGGTGGTCATGGAGTGCAGTGTACGACTCATGGAATGAGTGCAAAACATGGGCTAGGGTGGTCATGGCCTGCATTGTTGCATCATGGAATACCATGCGCAATATGACCTGGTCATGTTCCGCATATTTATGAGCAGGTACATGACCACCTTTATGACCTCATGGGGTCATAAGGTGCAGCCATGACTGAATACGGTCATATCGCGGTCCCATAACCTGTCATAAATCCCATCATAAATGACATCATGACCACGCATCTCATGACCCCAACCAGTCATATCCTGCACTTGCTTATGCAAACTATGAACTGATCCATGACCGGATCCATGACTTAATGACAAATTATGACCGGATCCATGACCGCATCCATGACCAAATCCATGACTTAATGGCAAATTATGACCGGATCCATGACCGCATCCATGACCAAATCCATGACTGGAAAACCGATCCATGACCAAGTCTTTCCCCGAGTGTTTGGCATAAACAGTCCATTTTTGGCTGGAGGAATGAACTTGTACGGTCGGAACATTATTTATCCTTAATTTTCAGGACCGCGAACAATTTTTTATTCCGAATTCGGAATATTCCGCAAAAAAAACGCTGGTACATACATATGCACATACCCCTCTTCGCGCCCGCTACTCGGTCTCGATGTGGGTAGAAGAATCCAGGGATGAGCTGCCCTGACTGCCCTTGGTCGGTCTTGAGGCGGCACACACGGCTACTGCGAACATAGTCCCAGTAGCGGCAGGTGGGGCTGCTGTAGCAGGCCTGACAGCAGGCCGCTTCGTCGGGCTGGTCACTGGTGGACAGCGAGGAGGAGTCGAAACCGTACCCAGCGCCGTACAGAACCTGGAGCGTGCAAGCTTAACATATATAGAGGTGGCAAGAATGGTGTGGTGGGTTGTCGTCTGTAAACTAATGGAAGACAGCGTCACGACGATCGATGACAGGCGCAGGTGAATGTGAATATGGGTTACCCGTCTATTACCCATCAGTAGTGTATTACCCCGACCCCTTTGTTACCCTTTGGTAAGGGGTTACCCCTACCCCGGGGTTAGGTTACCCACCTCCCTTCGTACATAGCCACATGGGTAACCCCGACCCCGACCCCCTGGGTTACGCTTAAGGAGGGGGGTACCCCCCGTTTTATGCCATAAGGACAGTTTTGGAGCTTTTAGACAGCAGGGTCATCGTCATATAACAAATAGGACCGAGGAATAAGAGATCGTATCTAGACAGAGATTCATGGTACAGAATGGCCTATAGTAAATCGTACCACGTTATAGTTTAAACCCTGTTTAGGCAATGCACGTGCATCATATGTGGCGGGATAGATTGAAAATTAACTTCACCCATTCCACAACACTTGATCATCGACGATTAATTAACGAGGACCGGTACCCCATCGGTGATAAGTAAAGACACAGTGTTGATGAGGACTCCAGGTTAGCAGCTTTCTACAAATCTACCTAAGAGAGTGTAACCCTTGGTTGGCCGTGGCGATGGCTAGTTGGCCAGCTAGTCAACGCGTCGCCATGTCCTCAACCGATTAATAACAATAATATCGTCAATCTTGATTATTACCTGCAGGCATGCCGTAAACCTGCAGCTCCGCCATCGCCAACCTTACATATGGGCTTGGGTTGACGTTGCTGTTCCGAACCAAAAGAGTGCGACCGGTTCTAGGCGGGTTGAGGTTAAGGAGGATTACGCCGCCAGTCGTGCCAGGTCCGGATGATGCATTATCGAGACGGTAATTATAAAAGTAGTTGCTCGCATCCGATAGGAGAACGGCGGCACCTCCAAGCCTGAACTCAGCATTCACAAGCTCCTGGCCGCAGCAGTCTCTGCGGTGGTATAGAGCTATACTGGAGATGGTCATCGCTTCACCAAAGTCGATCACTAGCCATTCGCCCGTACCGTTTGCGCTGATGAAGGTGCTGCTGTTGCTGCCCGCTGAGGGAATGATTCCATCAATGGCATTGACGGGAGCGTATTGGCTGGAAAACTGGGATGATGCGTATATGGTCTTCCCGATGGCGATGTTGGTGAAGGGTGGGGGGGGAGGGGGTGGTGGCGATGACGGCAGTGGTCCTGGGGCGAGGGGATGGAGGACACGATGGGCGGGCATGGTTGGATTAAATACGGCAGCTCATCATCACCCAGGTGATAGTAACGGGGATCATGGCTCAGGAAAGAAGCACGGCACACAGCGTGTTAATAAGCATGATGATGTGCGTGTGTGTACACACACATGTATGTAGGTAGCCAGGTAACATGCAGTACACCGCAGTTCTAGAACAGAAATGTTGACCGCATGGCGTTTGAACCAAACAGCAAGATTGATGAGGAAGGTGGCAGATGGCAGGTGTGCGGACATATGTATGGGGTTACGGCAACATACATTGTTATCCCTTCGCGCATTGATTGGTACGATGTGTAGCTGCAGCAGTGGTTAGCTAACTTGCTAGATAGCCGTATGATAAGGCCGCAGCTGTATGTATGTAAGTGAAGCCCTTGCCTGCTGGCCGCCTGAACAGTCGAAGCAAGGACATACACACATTATTCACCTTGCGCAGCCACTGACGGCGGTAGTAATAAGATGAAGCACAGCAGTGCTACTTGTAGGGGTAGCAGCAAGGGTAGTTGCATTTGCAGAACCGAAAGACGTGCTAGGCAGCCGCGCCATATAATCATTGTCATCCACTCTTCCTTCTGTGAGGTCTCAGTTGGCTGCATGTATGTATGTATGCCCAAGATAGCTACCCCTTTAAGAAGGGCTGAACGTGCATGGCTGCCTTCGTTACCAAAGCTTCTATCATAGTTGATATCTACATCTGCTGCCCCTGGCTCATTTGGCTGCGTGGAAGTCGTGCAGCGCTGCGGCCGCCGGCAGTAGCTATAATAATATTATTGCCAGTAATAATATTATAGTGTTATTATCATTTTAATAATATTAATACTATTGTTATTATTAATAATGTTGATATTATTATACTGCTGGCGCTCCTTAGCTAGAGTTGCAATTGCGAGCTCCTTTCAGCAATCAAGAGCAAGTAGGTTGGCTGAAGCGGGAGGCAAGGAGGCAAGAACGGGTGGGCTGGGGAAATAATCACTGTTGGGGATCCTCCCTCGGCTCCTGTCCCGATGATGACCGATGATGAGCGGGAACGGAACGGCAGGACGGTTGCAAGCACCAGCAAGCACGGGTCCGCGCGACAAGGTGTTAATATTACATGCGTACCAGGCTTATTACTTGTTTGTATATTTTGTATATGCGCATGCTATTGATGTTCCCAGCCATGAATTTATGCAAAGTATAAGACCAATTGTCAGTTCATATGATTAGCTTCACCGCAAAGTATATAATATCTTACAGCAGCTGCAGTGAAGCTAATTGCTTCGGAACTCTCATGCTGCTGGGGTCGCGTACACCGTTTCATCTTCCAGCAGGCAACGGGTTCGACCGCTTGTGGAGCGAGGTTCATGTACATAGGAAGTTACGCTTTCTGGCTAATGTTTCATTGTATGATACATATATTTCATGCTATCCTATAGGAAGACGCGCCTACTGCTGGCTACGGTTTTCATAGTGTGTGTGGTTGTATAGTGGGCTCCAGACTCCCGAAGAGTAGAGCCATCGGGCCAGCTGGCCGTGCACTGCAGTAGAGACTAATATACAAATTAGACCATCACCTCAGATAATTAACAGTTCATCGGTGACCGCTCCCGTGAGCATAGCAATTTGCCAGATATAATTCTCAAGAAGGGGTGATGTGCGCCAACAGAATCCCAACCTTTCCGTGGAATTCCGAAAGCTGCGAAACCCTGACGGCGTCCCCAAAATTCAACAATAACTCGACACATGGCTTCTTCGTAAGGGAAGGGCCAGGTAACAGTGCCGGGTTGGTTTTCATGTTTGCAGCCATATAACGTCTCCAGATTTGTTGTATAGTCCAGACGACACAACCACATAATGGGGGCATCGAAAGATACCGATTGAGACAAGTGTCTTGAAGAAATAGTCATCAGTGACTCCACTTGGGCCTTGCGCCGATAAGAATCCCCAGTACGACTGGGCGGCGCTGTATCCAGAAGCCATAGTTCGCAGGAACTACTCTCGCTCGGTCAGACGAAACTGGGACGCAGGTCCCAGCTTTACGTAGATAAAACCCCCGCCCATACGCAGGTGCAGCATTAAGGTGGCGGACGACTAACAGTAGTCGCTTTAGCCGCCTGCAGCTAACAGTAGCCACAACGCGCCCATATGCAGATATGGACTTCCGCAGTAGTGCGGCACTTGAATGGCGGACGACTAACAGTAGTCGCTTTAGCCGCCGGCGCCCATGGACTTCCGCAGCAGTGCGGCATTAAGATGGCGGACGACTAACAGTAGTCGCTTTAGCCGCCGGCGCCCATGGACTTCCGCAGCAGTGCGGCATTAAGGTGGCGGACGACTAACAGTAGTCGCTTTAGCCGCCGCAGCTAACAGTAGCCGCAATTAAACTAATAGCAGTATTAGTTAAAACCTGTAATCACCGGCCGCGGAATTGACGGGTGTTAGTAATATTGAAGTTCGGTAAATCGGAGTGGACGAGATAACCACCGACAGTTAGGATTCGGCGCCCAAACCGTTGCAGAAAAACTTTACAGGATACAACACATGCTCCATGGCTGACACCGCAGCAAGAGCCACAACATCCCAAACACATTGTTGCACTGTTTGTGGGGCTTGGACAAGCCAAAGTTGCTCCCTTGAAATTGGCAATCCTATTGAAATAAATTACCGTACTGCTACGAATTCTTCGCGCCACACCTTTCGTTTTGGGCCACGAAGTGTGTCACAGTGGAAAAAGCTCTATGGGGAAAATTATTTGCTTGTCGCGAAACTGTCTGGCACGAATGTGTCGTACGCCGTGTACATGGTGTAGATAAGCCAGAACTGAGTTTTTACACGCCAGAACTGAGTTTTACATATAGTTATAGCTTCCTTTTATTGTAACTGTTGTTTGCTGAACATCCTGGCACGCTACGTGACAATGCGTTGACCATGGAGCCCAGACGACCCAAGCAAACCAAGCTCACAGCCTTTTTGCCAAAGCTTGCTCGTGACGCTCCTGTTGAGCTCAGAGCAGGCGTTGCTGATATAAATGTCGCTCCAGAGGTCTTGGCTGCTTCGGGGTTTGTGTATCGGGGCGTTTGGTAAACCGCACCTGACTTTGGTGCCGCACCACCGGGCCTGTCTTCTGTTCTTCTGCGTAAACATATAGTAAACAATCTGTCCAGCAGTTTGGGAGCTTTGACGCTGTCGCTCCTTGTTGTGGCTTCCCTGGAGCCCCGCGAAATGTGTGTTCATGTAAACAAATGTGTGCCATAAAAACTGACAGCCCTCGCGAATTGGTGTAACAAAACGAAAAATTCCAGCTACATTTTTGGGGTACCCACGAACGGTGTGGCGCGAAGAATTCGTAGCAGTACGGAATATGCCAACTATACAAACTACAAAAATTGGAAAGTATATTTATACTAAAAAAACATAAAAACGTGCCAAAACATTAAAAACGAACAATCACGCTTTCAGCTATATTAGTAAGTTGATCTGCTACTGCCTGTGCCACCGGACAGGCCCAGAAATGATGACAGCGAGGGGATACACCTCCCACTGAACCTACTGGATAACCTCCACAACCACATACTGTTGGCCGCGACATCCTAAGATGGGAATTTCCTAACATAGGCACCCCATCAACCGTGAGACGCCACCAAACCTCTTTTTGTTCATTTTCCCATCGTAAATGAGACAATAAACGATGGAATGTCCGTTGCAAAAGAAGAATAGCTTCATGCAATACCTCAGAAGAGCCCGTCGCCTCTTTGATGAAGAGGGTGTGGGCCACACGGCGAGCCATCGAAAATGGTGAAAGTTGCATATTAGTCGCTATTTTAACGGATAAATGTTGGAATCTGATTGGAGGCCCTACACCCCATCTCCAACCAAGCCTCGACAGTAGGGTTTGGGTAACCGACTCAATGGAGGGCACCATCGCTTCCCTAGATTCTACACTCAGCGGAAACAAAAGACTAGCTGCCTGTCTCCAGTTCGCCGGGATAACAGCTAAAAGAGCGACAATAGCATCCATACATTCCTTCCATTTACGATAGGTGCACAGGGATTTAGCTAGTGGGGTCTGCGGTTGGAGGAATTGATCCACTATTTGATGCCAAGCCTTGCGTATTGCTAGGCCTGCCTGGTCCGTTGCATTCATAACTCCATCCAAGGCCTCGCGCGTGCAAAGAACATCCCCCAACGTATGCAATGCTTTACAGCCCAGGAGGGCTTGGTGTCGAAATTCTAGTCCCGGGCGGATGTTATCTGACATTCAACCTTTTTTCTGGAAGAACAGGGTTTCCCCACAGAGGCAAATTCCAACACCACGCATTAGGAACTAACGGGTGATCATCAACATCTTCAACTGGGGGGAGATATGCCAACGCTGTCACAATGCGCTGAACATCTGGCGGTAAAACGATTAATCCAAACCAAGGCACTCCCACCTGGGACGTAAAAATACACATAGGATTGTACTTGGGGTAAAGGCTATGCAGGAAAGAGTGCATGACCAACACCCATGGCGAACGTACTATGACTGGTTGGACTATCGCTCTCCAT